GCGGGGCACAGCAGCACCGGGGGGTGGCGGCAGTGGCCGGGGTGCCCCGGCGAGCAGGCGGAGCAGTCCTCGGGCGGCGGGGTGCACCGGGTGGCTGCAGTCAAGGCCCAGGGCAAGGTCCTCACCCGGGGTGGGCCTCGTCCTCATTGGTTTATGGCAAGCGTGCTTACAGCCGCTTGTGTCTGGTTGGGGAAAACAGCCCTTGTTCCAGCTCTGCTCCTGACTCCTTTCCAGTAACTCCCATTGCGGTCTGCTGTTACCAGAAAAGTGATGGATACACTGCTATAAGAACTGCAACCCTCTCACTCAGGATTGATGGGAAGGATCCTTTATTTCCTTTATTAAAGCTTTACAGTTTTAACCTTTCTTCTGTCAGCTTCTTATTTCCCCAGTTTACAGTACCTGTATATCGATCCTGGGTGTTAGAGAAGGGAATTGTAGCCAACTTTGCCTCAGCAGAGCAGAAGTCTGATTCTTGCTTAGCCTAAGTGTCTAAAGTAGGTGAAACCTGCAGGCCGCAGGACTGAACTGTAACCCAAAGAACGTTGCTGACGACGCCACTGCAACATCAGCTAGAACCAGCCCTCAAGGATACAGACCAGAATGAACAGAGATAACGGCTGACCTTCGGATAAGATAGGGTACCGTAGAGCAGGAACATAGCAACCATCTGGCAACCATCCTGGGATGTAGACATGAACCAGTCAGAGGGAGAAAGAGACCACTGAAGAAGATTGGAAGAGACTTTCACTGGCAGGTGGGGAAATAAAACTGTAAAAAGGAAAATTACTTAAGAATTCTTTTGTTCTGGGTGCCTCCCTGGATGCACCCAGCTCGAGCTGTTACTTTGTTATACTGTTATTTAAATAAATAATTAATTTAGCTGCTGTACATGCGTGAGACTTCACTCCTCAGAAACCTAGGGCTGAACTGTTCCCACAACACTGGGGTTGCACTAATTGTGCCCTGTACACAAATTAACCTTAAATCATGCCCTATCCAGTCATACTTAAGGCTCTGATACCTCACTCTCACGCCTCTTCTTCTGTAGCTCTGCCCACCACAGCATCCTCCATGTAGGATAATACCTTTTCTATATTCTCTACAGGAAACTGTTCTAACGTCTCTCTGACAATAAGTACGTGTTATCGCAGGTGCATTGTGAAACCCCAGCTAGACCTGAGGAAAGGTATATTGTTTGTCTCTACATGTGAAAGAGAATCCGTAAATTCATTTTTCTTTAGTAAGGGGAATGACCAAGAAGCAGCTCTGTAACTGACAGACACTTGTTGTCATCTTGTCACTTACCGACAACCTTGGGCACACGAGGTACACAGGAGCTATCCTCCCTGGGACACCATGCAAAAATCCTGCTCGTGGGCCGGCCTGCCTCCCCACACCTCCAGGCCATCTACATCTACATCAGCGAGGGCACACACACAAGCCTGCTTTGGGGAGGAACCTCAACCCTAAAACCAAGATTTAAAGAGTCAAGTACTCATTCCAGGTGCACTCTACCGTGTGCACTCATCGAGCAGAGCACTGCCAGGCCCCTGAAACCCCCCACCCTTTCCTCCCCTCCACCCATGCCTTCAGGTGGGCAGGAGAAATCCCGGCACTCGTA